AAAAGTTTCATTCGAAAACCTCAAACCATGAAGATTCTATGAAAATTCAAAGAACCTATTGCAATAAAACGGCAATTTCATACTTTAACCCCTAATACAAAGATCGAAAACTTCCCGTAAACCGCCGTCTTCTTGCATACCGTGGCAGACGCTATACCAACTAAGCCACGGAACGAACCATCGGACTTCACGAATTTTTCTATATGCTTGCGTCGTGTCTTTGTATTAGGTTTTTCAACGACTTTTTAGTCGTAGCGCCATCTATGAGAAATCTATGAAAATTTTATCACCCAGTTAGTACCTTTACAGCTACCAGTCCTGGCGAGAGATGTCGCTATTCACTGTATTTTAAATTTTTATTTAATTGATATTCAATTATTTTTTGTGAAATTACTCTACTAATTTGTTATAGTTATTAATACAAAGATCGAACACTCAGAAAAAATTCCTTCGATCCGGTCGGAATCGAACCGACGTCTTCTTGCATACCGTGCCAGACGTTATACCAACTAAGCCACGGAACGAACCAACGGACCTCACGAATTTTTCTATGTGCTTGCGTCGTGTCTTTGTATTAGGTTTTTCAACGACTTTTTAGTTGTAGCGCCATCTATGAGAAATCTTTGAAGGTTTTATCACCCAGTTAGTACCTTTACAACTACCAGTCCTGGCGAGAGATGTCGCTATTCACTGTATTTTAAATTTTTATTCAATTGATATTCAATTATTTTTTGTGAAATTACTCCACTAGTTTGTTATAATTATTGAATAAATGAATGAATGAATAAATGAATGAATGAAATTTCTTTATTGCACATACAATTACAATTAAAATACAATACAATAGCTTAAGTATAATAGTAGTAGTATGTCAATGTGCAACAGGCGGCCTTATTGCTATGTAGCAATTTCTTCCAGGCAACCTTAGAATAGACATTTCAGATATGCAAAAGGGGTGCAACCAAAGAATATCATCATAAGTACACTACATAATAAGTAATAATAAAAATATATACATATCCATAGATAGATATACATATACATACAAATAACAATAATATTATTAATGCATACATAACAATAAATACACAATAATATTAAATGCTTATATAATTTTAATAGAAAAAGAAAAAAGGAAGTACAAATGTAGGAAATAAATGAAAGGATAGTAGAGGACAGACGAAATTTAAGGAGTTGAGGAAGTGACCCTTGACACGTTGTTTGAAGAAATCAAGAGAAGGGGATCGTCGAATCGATTCAGGGAGAGGATTCCACAATCTGATCGCAGAAATGGTAAAAGAGTTGGAATAAAAGTTAGAGGTATGAGAGGGCAAGTTAAGTAAGAGAGTATCAGAGGAGCGAAGGGGACGACAGAGTGTAGAAGAGTGGAAAGTAAAGCGATCTTTAAGATAAGAAGGCGTAAAGGGATAGAACAGAATTGAATAGAGAAGTGAAAGAATATGAAGATCTCTACACCGATGGATGGGCAGCCATTTAATTTGTGCGCGAAATTGGGAGACATGGTCAAATTTACGTAGTCCGAAGATGAACCTAACATACATATTTTGGAGCCGTTCCAATTTATTGAGCAGAGTTACTGACAAATCTGGGTAGCAAACATCTGCATAGTCCAGTATCGGGTGGAGAATGCTCTGGGCCCGAGTAATTTTGGTTTTAGTCGGCAAAAAGTTTTTAAGCCCTCTCAGAGAGAAATGCGCACCAAACACCTTCCTGCTAACCTCAGCAACTTGCGGCTTCCAAGTCAAACATTTAAATTATTAATACAAAGATCGAACATTCAGAAAAAAATCCTTCGATCCGGTCGAATTCGAACCGTTGTCTTCTTGCATACCGTGTCAGACATTATACCAACTAAACCACGGAACGAACCAACGGACCTCACCAATTTTTGTCCGACCGGATCGAAGGAATTTTTTCTGAGTGTTCGATCTTTGTATTAATAATCATGTTTGTTTTTATCATAGGGAGGCTCGGCTTAGGTTTTTGGAGTAGACTGACTATGGTAGGCCTGTATGTGGACCCATATTCATTAGTATGCGGGAGTCTAAGAAGGTTTTTAAAAGTAAACTTAAGTGGTGTTAAAATAATAAAAAAACAAATACGAATGGATATGTTAGCATCGCTTCATTCGAATAAAAAGTTTTCCGATTTCTGGAAAGAAAGAAGAAGTCCAATACTAAGTCTAACCCTTACAGCACAGAATGATACGAACGTGCGTTCAACTTTGAAAAAAATTTGGTATAAAAGTATTCAAGTTTACCGCGTTGTTTGTTCGTTCGATTAATATTCGCTATTAAAGCAGTGCGGCCGTGTTGTAGGGTTACACACCTGTGCCGAGAGCGACAAGTGTGGGCGTGTACGTGACGGACGAGAGTTCGAAAAGCAACATTTTTTTTTAATTTCATCCGCGTTTCTGACCTAATGATATATTTTTTATTAAGTATATGTTATATTTTATATAAAAAATAATTAAACAATGAATTGTTAGAAATATTGGTTTTTATTCAGTAATAAAGTCATAAAACACGATCGTGCTTGTCAGGATGGAAATGACTAGATTAGTCCTTTTTTACTAATTTTTTTTGTTTTTAGGGACATTAACATACAATTTGAGTGCACAAATCATCGGAAACGTTGACAAATCGGAGTTAGGTGAATCTAACCTTGAATATTGAGAACAGGAGATAGAAAGTGATAGTGACTCTTCATTGTCACGTTATAGGTTCTCTATCAGCTCAGAAGAAATCCAATCTAAACCTGGACTTAATGCTCTCATATCGTCTACATCTAGTCGTCGTCGACGAGAAGGGCACTATAACCTGTGCGCACACAGGAACCTTCTAAGTTCAGGTTCTGACCTCGGATCAGCCAGTGTGCAGGGTTGTCACAGACCTCTGTCATTGACTTGATTCGGTTCTTCGAGAGGCTAGTGCCTCGGGTGAGCCACCCCGATTGCACATACAGTACCCTCCCTATTTTCCAGATAGGTACCGGAGCTGTTGGCACGCTCACTTCCCGTTGGGCATTGCACAACTAGCGGTTGCCACCAGGGTCCACTACCAAATCTCCTCATTGGTGGCGGAGCTGTAAGGCACGATCACTTCCCGACGCCGAAAAACAACGTCTCTCCAGTTACCAATAACGTAAGCAGCTGGAGGGACCGGAGGATATCTAGCTTATCCTCTACTAGCTCTCCGGGCTAGTGCCGGAGATACCAGTCGCAGTGTATTGCGACAATGTCCGGACATAACTTCCAACTTAAAGGGCAACTCATGTGTCCCACGCGTCTCCTCGCTTCAGGCCCTCAACTACACCGCTACTAAGACGCGCTAGCTGCTCACGAGACAGACGCCCCGGCCACACCCAATTGAGACAGACAAACATGTCCGTCTCTGCAGCTAACCACAAACCCCAGCGAAGGCGTATCACTGGCGTAGGAACCAGCCCAGACCAGTCGTTTTTGAGAGGGCTCCGAATTCTCCACAGTCACTTCTATCATCCAGTCTTGGTCGATCTTCTAACAGTACCTGTTCAAGTACCTGTGATGCTCCAAAGTCGTGGTCGATCATTATCTATTCGAAGCCATACTTCTGTTCGAGAACGGTCACGATGAGAAAGGCGAAGTCGTTCGGCTGCGGTACCGTCATCACATAGATCAAGCAAGTGGAGGCAAATGTTATATGATGATAGGGATCAATTGTGGTAGATACCCATCTCGCCCTACGACTGGAACTTGCCTCCTACCCTTTGATTATTTTCTTGAGTATTTTGACGACGAATCGATGAAAAAGATCTCGAAGAGTTAGTATTTAGCGTTAATTAATAATTAATAATAAGTTCATATTTTGTTATATTTCATGTGAAACATGCGATAAACTTCAAGTTTCATTAATATAGTTGATTTCGTTGCTTTATAGGTCGCCTTTTATTCAAAATTTTTATTAAGTCATAAAAAAACGCTAACGCTTTTGTAAGGTTCATGACGGAATGCCACGGGGGGGTTTTTGCAAGGGTTTCGGGAGAGGAGATAGTTTTTTCTTACTAACGGCATAAATACTTAAAAAAATGCAACATCAAATTCATTAAATCCATCAATTAGTATGTAAATTTTTGTTTATATTACTAACCAATATGGATGTATAACATTCGAAATAAATAAGTTGGATTTGAATTTGAATAAAAATAACTAATTCGAAGATAAAGAAGATAAGATAATAAACATTAATATATATCACGAGTTACTTGACATTATAAGTTTTGAAAATAAAACAAGAGTGAGCAACACTTTTGAACTTCAAACTGCCATATCTCGAAAGTGACTGGATGTGCATTGTGGTATATTGTGCTGTTTTGTATTATTCTTTTATTACTATTATCCTATTTTTGTATTGTAAGCCGGAATATACTAAAGAGCAGTGTTCATTCAATTAAACATTAAAAAAAGGGTAACTCCCGTGACTGACTTGACATTGGCAACCATGACTGACTTGACATTGGCAAAATTCTTCAAGAGACGCCAGAAACTTAAGAACATAATAGAATAGAATATGCCTTGGATCCTTTTTGTTTAACTACCTCCAAATGTCAAATGAATCACCTTCACCTGGAAATATGTAATTTTGTCTCTAATCGGTATCAATTTAGTGCTACCTCAATTCATATCGTCAAAGCCGTCTGCGATCTCGGCATTATACTGGACTATGAACTTTTGTGTACGCCGCATTTTGACTTCATTACTCAGAAAACTCACAGAGTGCATATGCTCCTTGCAATTACTTGCAATGTTTAATACTTATTTATTGTAATTTGGTGGATTTTAATAATAAAATTTAGAAGCTACGGAAAACAATGATTATTACAAAATAATCATTGTTTTCCGTAGCTTCCCTTTGGCATCCAATTATTAGAATTTTAATGTAAGATGAAATTAATTGTTTAAATAACAAGCATTGTAAGTAGCTAAGTACATATATTAGTATTTAAGAACATAAACCAAATTTAAAAGGCTAAAAATAAAATATAAACGTACCTTATCTACGTCGGAAAAAGCAGCTGAAGTACACACAAAATGTCTCATATTATGACGATGTATTAGGTTACATTTAAGAGTGGGTATTATTTGTAGATATGCTTTATACAATATAGGTGACAACTTCTGTAAAATAAATGATAACCAGTTAAGTACATAAACTATTTTTTACATCAAAACCGTGTATATTGGCTTTTTTAAGCAAACAACCCAAGTTTCGGGCTCTTTACAGGTCCCAATAATATAAATATAAATACAATAAGGATAAAAGAACAATGGCAAAATCATAATTATAAAAATTCGTTAGCGTCTACAAATATCTCAATTACAAATTTGAATAAAATAAATTCACTATGTTTTTCAAATTATAATAGCGGTCTATCTAAGTCTGGAAATAAAATCATATTTAAAACGTCATATTTAATGACTAATTAGTATGTAACCGGGCTGATGTCTACAACTATTGGTTTCTTAGTTTCTTAACGTTGAGCGACATCTAACCGCCAAAATGCCATATCCATTTTTTTTTAGAATTTCAGTACCTAATATGGATATGGTTCACATTTAGTTCACGTAATATCAAATTTGTCAAGCTAATAAAAGTTTGTTTGAGTTAATAAAAGATTTATATGTTCATTACAAAAAATAATGTCGATAATTTCTTCTCCAAAATGCCACGCAAGAAAATGGTAAAACTGACAAAAAAATCCCAAAATCAGGGATAGATGGCACGTTTCATAAAAAAGTAATTTGTGTCCGAGTTACCAGTGCAATAGTCTGTGGTGTGTTACTAATTAACTCAGTTTTTTGTTATGGCTTAACTTTGACCATACCCGTATACAAATAATTTCTCTGAACTTTCGTTACGTCACAGACCCACGCCACCATTCAGCTTCTATTAACTCTGTTTAAGGCTTCTGTAGTTTATTTTTATATATTAATACACCGAATATATTTTATTCAATTAAGTAACACATAACCTCCAAAACTTCAAACTAATATCTTCTATTGCCTCTGTGGCCGAACTGTTACCATGCCGGACTACCACCCAGAGGTCCCAGGTTTGATTCCCGGGCCGGGAGAAATATTTGTATGGCCTACACTTATTTATCTAATGAGTGTGGGTGTCATTCGTGGTTGCCTATGTGTGTGTCCATGGCACCCGAGACACAGAATTTCCCTGGTGCGGGCCTAAGTTTAGTGTATGCGTTAAAAAAAAACTGACTTCTCAGAATGGTAAATCCAACCAAGATTTTTTCTGGAATTTCAACTCTCTATTTTCACATATTTTCATAAACAGATTATGTGAACAAAAATTTATATGGGAGTTTGCCCTTGTCCTTTAATATTAAAAACAAATAAATTATGATGATGATGATGTGCTTGACATGAACTTATAAAATTCTAAGAATAATTTGTTTATTGATGGATTATATAAGTATTCAGCATTATAGGACTGATTAATCAACGCTCATTAATACGAAGAATACTAAGGGGCGTATTCCAGAACTCTACTCAATGCTCAAGTCAGGACTTAAGTATGACTTAAAGCACTAGAAATCATACTGAAGTCCTTGCCATTAGGATCGTATTTCCAGTGCTTGAAATCATACTTAAGTCCTGACTTGAGCATTGAGTAGAGTTCTGGAATACGACCCGTAGACTCATTATTATTTAACAAAGCGGAGCGTAGGAGAACTGTGTTTTAACAGCTGTTTCGTTAGTTAGTCTAAGCGCATAGGAATGTGACTTCTCCCATCGTGAGAAAAACTCAAATGTTCCATTCGACATTTTCATTCCTACGCAAAAAAAAGGAAACATATTTGCTTATAATTACGTGTTTTATTCGCTTTCGCTGAATTTCACAGTATATAAGGACTTACAGCGTAGTTAGTGAAGACATAATACTTACATTGGTGTTACAGAATCACTTAACAATTGTAATATCAATAGTATTCATCCACTTACAATTACCATATTAGATCGCACACGTATGTGTGAGCATAATTAATATGTGGTAGTGCTTTTTGTGTGGTTGTGTCATTTCTTTGCCTAGTAGTTCAGCCTTACAAACTTACGTGACATTTAAATGTCTTTTGTTAAATGCAATGTGTCAAAATTTTATCAAAAGACGAAAAAAACATAAAAATGTTAGATAGGTATGTGTGTGTATGTGTGTGCGTGGCTGCATCCACGACCTAGCTATCGTCAGTCAATAAACAGTGGGAATCGAACTGCCGGTCGTTTCACTTGTCTCCCTTGCACGCATATATAACTGTTTAACATAAATAATTTAAGTTACTGCAAAAGAATCTTAATTGTATAATTATTATATAAACTATAAAAAAGGTGAAAAGGAACGTAATTTGACAAGGACTTTTACATAAATTGTGATCACCGACCGAGCCACTTGTCTATTTACATAATTGAGTTGTATATCAACATTGCATATTTGCAAAATGAAAAATAAAAAAAACTTACAAATGCTCCCATTCGACCATATCCTGAAACGAGACATTGACCCGTATATTCCGTGCGATATGAAGCCATAGGTATCTTATTAACGTAGTTATTGAAACGAAACGGTTCTTTTAAAAACTGCAATAAACACAGCTTAAATCAATCTAATCATCATGAGAATTTAAATTTCATAAATTCATCGCCTTAGTTCATGTAGTTTATTGTTGTTATTTTAATCTGAAGTGGTGCTATGACGAAAAAACTTGCCTCGAAAATGCCTGTAGATTTGTTTTGAAAATAGTTTCTACTATATTTTCTGAGAAGAAATCAGCACGCAGAAAACTCCCATCTCCGTCTCAGGCCTTGTGCAGTGCAAGAGCTACAGAGCGCAAAGTTAATGTTGCCATAGGCTTACTTTGAAATACCTGAAACTTCATAACACAAGAATTTCTTATCAACAAGAATTTCTTCATTGACCTTGTTATAACAAATTACTGCACGAAAAATTAAATATTGCTGAAATAATTAGTTGCCCGATTTAAAAACTATCCACATAATTATTTTTCAATACTTAGTGGTGAAACAATTAACTTGGCCACCACGATGATAGCGGCTATCTTGCACTGCACGAGGCCGTTCGCTGTCTGTCCTTAGTTTGTTTCTTACCACAACAGCGATGTCGTATTGCGGAAAACGAAAACTTGCCGGATAAAAGACACTTGAAAGTTTTCTCCACTGACCATGTTCCACGCTATCATCTCTTTGATAGTAATCTGTGTTTTGAAGAGTCCCTGCTATGGCAAAATAATTCATAATTTTCTTTTTCGGGGCCTGCCTGAAAGTAGCAATGAAAAGAAAAATATAATTTGGAAGTATGTTCTTCTTCTTCTTATCGTATCAATACCATACACTACACTATTGTGGCCCAGAACCCAGTCACGCTAACCGCGATTCTAGTAGCCGCCCTTAAATCTTGTAAATGTTAGGGCACGCACAAACAATACAGGTTAGAATCATTCGAAAATCTCCAAAAGAACAAATTGTCCTTACTCCGGCCAACCTGAGTCTAAATACTATTTAAAGACTTCCAGATCGACCATGGCAATTCGTGTCCTGGAGGAAGATTCCCAAGAAAATGGAACAAAGGAAGGTGGTACTCTTTCGGTCAGAGGATCGATACAATCGTTTCGAGCACATTTGTTGCAAATAATGCCACTCTTTTACGCTCAGATTACCAAGCTAAGCAATTGAAGTTAAATTTAACAAAGATGGGAAATTATTTACAAGATATGATATTAAAACAACCCATATATACGAAGAGTAAACGTGAAGCCATATATTGGAATTGGAAGTCCTATGTCAGTACAGAGTACTAAAAAAACAGACCTCAAAAGTCATTCATCCCCTAGTTTGCCACCCTTAGAGGTGGAATATTTTCTTCAAATTTAAAGTGTACCACGACTGAGGTACCCTCTTTCAAACAAAAAAGGAATCATTAAAATCGGTTCACAAATGCAAAAAAAAAACATACAGTCGTATTGACAACCTTCTCCTTTTTTTGAAGGCAGTTTAAAACTTAAATAAAAATTCATTAACGGGGCCAGCAACCGCGGTAACCGCAACGGCGTTTTAACCTTACAATATTTATGTAGATATAGCGATTAATATGGAATAATTAAGACATTATAAATTTCCTGTTATGTTTGTGTTTGACGTACCCTCTATTGAAGCAATTGCTTGCATATGTAGAATGGAAACAGTGTGCGGCGGAGATAATTTTTCTTTCTTCGATGATGGTGCCGCCACAAAATGTCTTGTAGAGGCCTTTTCTATTATGGGCCCGGAAAGCAACCTAAAATTTGAAAAAGGTGTCATAAGTATCTATCTATATACTCTACATAGTATAACGTCATGACTAAAATGTATTTGCTCATGTAGGTCTTATGCTTCAAGAATTTAATACATTTAAACAGTATCTTCTCTCAATTTACGAACCATGTGCCAGAGTCAAGTGCTAATAGCAAATGTAAATCGATCGCTGCGAGATAAGCACGTGTGGTTAGTACAGAGGCCGTAAGCAAAATGCGAAATAACTAATAAATAATTATTCATTTGCCTACTTTACCATTCTAGAATTCATACAAATAATTTGTAAATTACACTTTTGCACCTCACTACTGTCTAAGCTACCCTCGAAAGGATTTTGTGATGTAGTTGATTGTGGAGATTGATCTGGATATAATATTCATATTTATAATATTCGTATTCATTATATTATCCTCACTATTTATACATTTACTGTTGATAGCAATCTTGAGACTGAACGATGTGCAAGTTAATTCGTTTTCAATATGGCGTAATGTAGCATAATAACAGCGGCTCTGTAATCTAAACTTTATATATTGTTTATATATTTATATTGTTTATGAGTTGTTGAGACAATTAAACGATTTATTATTATTCAAATTCATATCCTAGACGAATACTTGTCGATGTATATCTCTAGTGATCCAGTATATAACCAAAAATAGAGACGAAACAAGGGCATCTCATTCTGGCAACTCATCAGGCAAATGATCCTTATATAACTTTTAAATATCAACTCTCGTTTGCACTGAAATCACAAATTAAAAAGCTGAAATAGTACAGCGCCAACAACTGACCTGTGTATATGTCATATTCCAAAAAAAATGTGTATTTATTGTAATAAAGATAATATCTCTAACAATGGGGGACTGTTAAATTCGGTAGTGTGAGAAAAACAGCAAATATGTAATTACAAAACAAACGGAAACACATTTCATCGGTAATTAATCGGTATAATATTAATCGGTAATTTAGTATATCGAGAGCGTCATCTGTACCGCGTCGCGCCAGCTTGGCATCCTGAACAAGGTGCACCGATTTTTTACTCCAGAGCTGCGATACCTGTTGTATAAAGCTCAGGTCCGAAGCAGCATGGAGTACTGTTCGCACCTTTGGGACGGCTCTGCCAAGTACTTGCTCGATGCTCTAGATGGACTGCAGCGCTACGCCTTCCGTGTTGTCAACGATCCTCATGTAACTGAGCATGCGGAGTCGTTACAGCTTCGCAGAGATATAGCGTCTCTTAGCGTATTCTATCGCCTGTACCACGGTGAGTGCTCTGAAGAGTTATTCAACCTATCCCTTCCTCTCCTTTCCATCAACGCACTATGGAAAATTTAGGCCTGTTTCGGACCAAAAATCTGTAACTTTTGAGTTTTTTGAGATATAGCTTTGATTTTTTTTATATACACAGTGGGATTGATGTAATTTTTTAAATACATATCAATTTTTTTTAACTACCCGCAGTTTTGACAAAAAATAATGTGCAAAATGGTAAATAGGTACTACCCGATTTTTAAAACTCGAAACGACCCGAAAAAAATTATATATGCATTGTTACGATTATTCTTTATTTGTAAAGTAAGACAAATGTGATTAAAAATGTTTTCTTCAAACAACAAAAGATTTTTTTTAAAGGGGAAAAGAAAAAAATATTAAAACAGACTTGTTATTATTTCGGATCTGTTTTCGACTCTTGCCAATCTCTTTTATCATTGCTAAATTATATCTATTTCAGAATCAGTGATGAGTAGATCCATTTTCAAAAGATGTAGTGTCTCCTCGTCAAACTCTTTTCGATTTTTAACATAAGGCTTCCGGATACTAGTAATAAATGGATCAGAAGTACAAAGCAACGTGTGAAATACGTCTTCATTCGTAGCAGATCTTGAGCACTTTCTTGAATGGTGTAGTCTAAATTTTTTGCACGTAGAGTCGCTTAATCAAAATTTCATCGACTCCTGTAATTTCAGCAGAGCAGGCAGTTATAAAAAAACCTTCTCGCAGTGTTACCGTCATTGCTATTTCCGCCTCCTTGTCGTGGTTTGTCAATGATTAATCCAAGCTCTTCTCGAAAGCGTCTTTGTACCATTGATTTCTTTTCTTGTTTCATTCGTTTATTTTCGTCACTCGTAGCTGACCACTTTTGAAACGAAAGATTGTAAGAAATATGCAAAATCATCTCCATACAGCGAATCCAGGCGTGTAGTGTTGATAATCCATAACGAAAAGCATTTTCATTTTCGGGCCTAGCAGTTACATTTTCTAAATTATTCATTAGACGTGCAGTAGCACCCCAAATAGTACATGTGGAACTAGAAGGAGTATCGGTTAATACCTGGGCCACTTTGCCATCTATCATTGTCAAAAAAAGTTCATGTTTAACTTGAACGCCATTGCCTTCCTTGACCAATCAATGATGGACTCAAAGCATTAATTTGAGTCTGAATATCGTTAACAACAGCTTTTGTTTTCTCGGGAGTTTCTTTCGAAAACTCTATTAATATAGGACGACAGAATCTGACGGATGAAGGCACAGGATTTTGCCAAACAACAAAACCAGTTGTTTCATCAATTAATCTGATGGGCACAACAGATGTGACGAATAAGTGTGAGTCTGACACAAGTTCAGACTCCTCTGGAAGTCTTTGTTTATACTCACTTTGGCCAGACGAGCCATCACATCCCCATTTACTGTATAAAATCAACTGTTTCAAACCGTTTTTGTACACGGAGTCTATCATTAATATCCTCGCTGTTGTGTGGTCTAATAAATCCTGCAGAGATAGCATTTTTGCATGTGTGTTTGTAATTTCAATAGCTGTTGCAGGTGGGTAACAGTTCTGTTTACTTTTTTGTACTTTGTAATAAGGTGGCAGTATGGGACAGTTTCGTTCGTCCATTATATTCCTCAAGTATAAATATTGCGCCTTGGTCAAATCCAATTCAATAAATACACTTAATGCTTCTTGATCGCTCAGTTTTTGAATGTTGTAAGAGTTGTCCATTAATTTTAGCACTGAATTCTTTTTCTCTGCATCTGCAGATCTTAATGCTTCCACAATTTTAGCTTCATTGCTTTCTTCCTTTGCTCGCAGCCCTTGAATGTATGCACCAAAGATATGTTCGAATCCATATTCACTAAGGAGTGTTGTATTTTTGCGCTTCTTACTAGATTCTGAAGAATTTTCATAAGACAGACATGGTCTTCCTCGTTTACCAGTTGAAGTAGATGGAGTGGAATCGGTTATCGTAGGTAAAGAAACAGAAAACTCTTGATCCAACCAATCACTGTTAACCCTCAAAAAGGCTTCTTTCTTTCGTGATGCTTGGCTCCATCGACTGTTAAATTGTGTTAGCAAATGTTTTTTAAAATCACTAATTATTAAACGTAAATTGTCCTCCGAAACATTAAAGCAATCTCGTAAAAATGTTTCGAGAGCCGTATCATTTCTTCCACCTTCAATATAGGGAAGTATTAGTTCTCGTCTCGAACATTTAAAAGCACTCATTTTCAAATAAGTTGAAAAATATATTCAGCGACAAACGACTGCTTGTATATTTACTGTATGTAAATATGGCAAATGTTTAAAAATGAAATGATTGACAGAGCATTATATAGCCATAGTGTAGTGTGAAAAATAATGATAAATATGATAAATGCAACCACATCTTCATTATCGTAGCGCGATAAGGATATTTTTCTGTGGTAGGACACATGTTCTAATTTTTGTCGTATCTTTGGAAACCGCAAAAAACCGCAGCTGATTTCTATGAAAAAGTGATAACGAATACCTATTCTATGAAATAATACAAAATTCGAAGCTTGGGCAAGCTTGGCTAACAGTCAAAACTCTCGATGAATTTGATAAAAACCGGTTATTTTTTTATTAATCTCCAATTTCTTAAAAAAAATAAAAAAAATACATTGCACAATAAATTTTAAAATTGCAAACTTTTTTGAAATCTACATAAAATTCCCTTTGTAAAAATATATAATAGCATATGTCTTATCTAACAAAATCAATAAGAATTGTGATGTCGAAAGTTGCAATATTTTACGGCGCAGTAACGCGAATATTTGAAAGGACATATTTGAAGTGTTTTTTAAAATGAACCTATTTATCTAACCTATAAAAACCTACATTATATTGAAGTATGATATCTAAACTATGAAATAAAATTAATTTTGCATATTAATTCAGACTTTGGTGAAAACCATTTATGGGCTGCTGTTGTTCTACCATTTTCCATTGTGCAACGGACCACCCGTGCCGGACTGTGGCAACGCCCACAGTTGGACGGTCAGTTCAATACCGTCCCGCACTAAAAAGTTTGGCAATTCGTTTTTATGCCGAACCATCAAATTGTGAAACCAACTCCCGGCGCATGTATTCCCTCCTCTCTATAACATCGGGTCCTTCAAACGTAGTGTGAAGAAGCATTTGGCCAGACCGGCAAAATGATAGTGACGGAGTGAAGATATTTGTGTTTTCCATCCGTTACTCTCATCTCTGGACTGTATTCGCACTTTCCATCAGGCGCGGTGCAGTCATTTTGCCGAGTCACAATAAAAAAAAAAATTCAATATGTATTTTTTTTATTTTCGTCTATTATTGCAAAGCTTAAGTTAAAGTGGTTGATTTGAAGTGAAACAATTGACGACAATAGTTTCGAATTTGGGCTAGCCAATCGGAGTACAGTTGTTACCGTAATCATTTGGCAGAACAGTTTGCAAACAAATTAAATGCCATTTCGTTTCTATTTCTGGTTATACATATACTCGATGTCTCAGGGTAACGGGCGCAGTGGCAGTTCCCCTAGAATATTTGCGATTTAAAGCTCTGAGTAACACTTTGACTGTTATGGACAGACGTGACGACTACCATCAAGACACGACTTGTTCGTCCCGTCACTTCGTATCATAAAAACCAATGGACATAACTTACAAATGTGACAATAATTGTAAAATTAAA